TCATTCAGTTGGCAAGTTATCATGCACTGCCTTATATCTTTTCTCCTATTTTGAAATGATACTTAAAAATCTTGTGATTTTAACAAGACAAAAACAACTTGTCCCAGCTTGTTGCTTTTTTTTCCCCTTACACATAGATCTAAACTCCTTGATGGCGGAGATGGTATCTTATGACTCCCTTCCTCTTCTCCTGCTCCCTTCTATTTATTTAGTGCAGTGCCTTGTGCATAGCATTTGTTCAAATACATATTTTGTCAGCTTGATAACTTGATTTTACTGTCTGAATTAGTTTCAGTCTAGGGATTAAGAGGAGCTTTGGAATATAGAGGGATGATTAAACTCTTCTGTCCACTGTCCTCATCATTTAGTAGCAAACATGCTCTAAATGGGTGATTTTGTGGTAAGCCACTGACTATGCCAGAGGAATGGCTAGCGCACAAAACTTACCAGTCCTAGTGAAATTTATTAAAGTTTTTTTTTTAATAGCCGATTGAGGCCCTAGGAGCTAGAGACATAAAATATTGGTGTTCTTCTAATTTATGCCTCTCTTCGTGTTTGTTAATAGGGTATAATATAATCAGTCTCAGATTAGCTTGTGGAAACAGAAGCATCAAATATCACTCCATAACTTTCCCCTTTTTTTTTGCAAGAAAATTCTCGTCTCTGATGTGTCAGTGATATTTCACTAGTTTTTCATTCTTCCCTGGGAATTTGCAGCACTGGTTGGAAGACCCTCGTCCAGATCCCTTCTTCAGACACTTCTGAGCTGTGTGACGCTGAGCAAGTCACATTATCTGCTAATGGTGCCTGCCTTCTAGCCTTGTGAGGATAAAATGAAATGATATTTGTGAAGCACTATATAAATGTTAGCTGTTATTAATAGTAGTAGTGGGGAGGAGACAAAGTGGCAGATATTATTCACCCTTCCAAATTTACATTTTGGGATATTTAAGCATTGGAATTGATTGCTGAGGTAAAAGAAGGAGAAAATGAGGGGGAATGAAGGAGAGAAGAGTCTGATTCATTCCCTGCCTGATTTTTCAGAATTTATCAGACTTAGTCTTATGGCCTTGACTGGCATCTGATTAACTTTCAGAAATCCAGAAGCTCACTCCTCTACAAACATGGTCATTATAACCATTTAGATAAGGGGTTCAGGGAATGCAATTTTAGCAAATGACAAATCAAAGAGTGTCATTAAGTTTTATGTGTAGCCTGAATTTCTGACTCATTTCAACCTCTCATCGTTGATCTCCAGACACTGCTCTTTGTATAGGTGCATTAAGTGATAATGGCTTTGCTTCAGTATTTCATTTATTGAGATGAACTGCATCTATAAAGTGGTTCAACTGTCAATTCCTTGGGGCTAAAATAGACCACTGGGACACTATCTTTAAAATGAACATGTCAGGTGTAGGAGCATATAGACATAGAAGAGCATTTTAAATAAGTAGTTCTTGCATTCCAATACAGTGTTTACAGCTTATGTAGTTATATTGGATAACTGACGAAATGTGCCTGTAAGGCTAACCAGTTTATCTTTGGAAATATTTAAGCCTTGTTCAATTACTACTGAGAGATAGATGGGATTTTTAGATACTATTTTTATTTTTTCCTAAGAAGGAAAAAAATAACCTTCTAAGTTCTACAAGCTAATATACCTATGCTTCTTTTTGGTTTCATAACGCTTATTCTAACCTTCCATTCCCATCTGTTCGGGAATGGAAGTTCACAAATTTAAAGTTAGTCACTGTGAACAGACTCATTTTTGCAAACTGATGCCAAAACACATCATCATTGTTTGCAAAAGCCTGAGGCTGCTGAAATTTCATAGAAAAGGCAACGGAAGTGGAAAAAAAAACTTCAACAACCTTTAGATGATTGAAAATAATAGTAGGTGAATAATAGTAGATTGTCAAAGTTTGTTAAAAAGTCATGAAATTCCTACCTTGTGTTTTCAGACACAATTCAGTTCTTTCTAATTCCTCTCCCTCCTCTCCCTATCTTGAAATCTCTCCGAGTGTTGAGGGTAGAAAGATGGAAGAAAGGGACAGGATAGGATTTGGTGAAGCCCAGAAGTGTTCAGAAAAAAATCATGGTGTTTTGTTTGTTGGCTGCTTAATTATTTCCTTCCAAACTTTTCTGTTTCTATTTAGTGAACCACTTCCTTTTAGGACATTCAGGTTTGCAAACTGTGTCAGCTTTGGCTCTTCCCTCTCCCTCAGGCCCTCTATCCAATCGTCTGTAAACTCATTGATTCTACTGCCACCATGTCTCCTAGCATCCCCTTTTCCCCACTCATATAGCCACCACTGTGGTTCAAGTTCTCATCACCTCTCATTTGGAATTGGTCTCCTTGCCTTCAGGTTCTTCTCTCCCAATTCATCTTCCATGTAGCTGCCATTATGATCTTCCAAGGACATAGTTCTGACCGCATCACTATCCTGCTCAAAAACTTTGTGGTTCCCTATTTCCAGTAGGGTAAAATAAAAATTCCTCAGACCGGAATTTATACGCTACACAGCCTGACTCCAGTATACCTTTTTAGACTTATTTGACACTCCTCTTTTTCATGCACTCTGATATCTAGCACGAGTAGACTGTTTTCTAACCTTTGATGATTCATCTCCTGCCTCCATACCCTTTTGCACATGCCATCCGCCTATGTCTGGAATGTATTCTTTATTCACCTTTTCATGTCTGTCAATCTGTTTTGTCTTTCAATACTTAATTTAGTTTCAATAAACTAAGTTTCAATACTTAGTTTACCATCTCCTCTGTGAAGACTTCCTTTATCTCTACTAGTTGCTAGTCTTCCTTGGCTCAAATTACCTTATATACTTAGTCTGTGTGGATGAGTAGGCTATACCATATTGTCAGCAAAGCACTGTTCAGGAGAAACAGGGCTGTCATGAGAAAACTGTTTGAACAGAAAAGATGTTTGGTCATTTAGCAAGAAGGGGAGTGAGAGATCATAAATTATCTTGCCTTACAGAGCCAAGGTGCTCTATAAGCATCCAGGAAGTATCAAGAAATATAAAGGAAGGTCTCTAACATATTAGATCACTCCTCCCACCCCCAACCCAGCCAGGTCAGACTTATTGGAGAATATGTACAAGAGTCACATAGGATAAAGTTGTCATCTTCCCCATTTGCAGAAGTATCCATATTGATGAGTTTGGCTATATATCTCTCCCTTTCCTTAATCCATCTTAATCTTTCTCTCCTTCCATTAGAATGTCAGCTTCTCCAGGTCAGATACTATCTGGCTTTAGTCTTTATATACTTAGTACGTAACAGAGTGTCTTGTACATAGTACACAATTGAGAAATGTTACATTAAGTTGTTTTGAACTGTTCAGCTTCTGAGGTATAATTAATTAAACATTTGATTTGAATGCTTTTTGGCTTTTATAAGCCTTGTATGTGGTAAATTTCTAGAGAATACAACTTCTACTTTATTGTTGAAAGTTTTAAAGTCTTCTAAAGAGTTTACACAAGCAAAGAAAAGAATCCCTGTGGGAACTAGTTCCTATCTCAACAGTTTTCTCCTTCTTCCAGAGGTCAAGTTAGCAAAGAGTCAGGATTCAGGATATCCAGATTTAGTTTCTGGATTCAAATCCTGATTCATATATAATTAGTCATGAGCAAGGTACAAGTTTCCTCATCTGTCAAATGGGGATAATAACTCATAGATATAGAATTGGAAAGGACCTCAGAGGCCATTTAATCCAACCCCCTCATTTTATAGGTGAGGAAATTTAAACAAAGAGAAATTGAAACTCACACAAATAGTAGGTATTAAAGGTGGGTTCTGAACCTTGGTCTTATAACTCCAGAACCAAGGCTCCAGCCACTGTGTTGCCCACCTTACAGACTTGTGAGAAGTGTATTTGATAAACTTTATTAAAAAGCCATAATCTGAATTATTATTTTCATGCTATGTATCTGCAGAAATGTTTCTTGATCACTTTTACAGATATGATTTATAATATATTTGTAAGGAGGTGATGAGTGTCAACCACATGTACAAATTCACATGAGTGAATTTGAGAGAATGTTTCATGAATGGTTAGAGCTTTAGGTCATGCTATGTATCCTAAGTTCAGGTAGTTAACTCTAGCTGTCCTAGCTTCATGAATATCACTTTCTGTATTCTATATAATAACAACAATGATTTTATCCAAAAAGGCAGTTTAACATGTATGGCAGAACATTACAAATGCAAATGGCTTTTACTGGCAAAGATAGATTTCAATTGCCATAGAATGAATTCTATCATAATTTAAGCAAACTACACATGCACTTTCTCAGTTGAACTGAGAACTAATTGAAATAATTTAGAGATAGAAAACAGCAAGCTCTTAAGTAGAGTTCATTTTAGAAAGCTAAAACTACACAGCCAGAGTAATAAACTTGTTAAACAAATGTACAGCATGGTATATTACTTCCACTCCCACATTCTGCAATCCAGTGAAACTGGTTTCTATTCTTCACACAGGACTCTCCATCTCTCATCTCCATGACTTTGCATTGGTCATCCCCTATACCTGAAATGTACTCTCTTTTCACCTCCACAAAATTTCTCTCTTCCTTCAAGACACAGCTCAAGTATCACTTTCCACATAAAACCTTTCACGATCCTCCTCCCCCCTCAACTAGTACCCTCTTTCCTAAATTGCTTTGTATTTAATTGCTATGTATTTATATTTATTTTATTTATAATTCTATATGACTATTGTCTCCATGATTAGAGTAGAAATTGTTTTGCTCTTTGTATTTTTATCGCCAGGGCTTACTACACACTAGGCTGTCAATCATCTCAGTCAATAATTATTGATTGATTGATTGAACAAAAGGAAGTGATGGGGGTGGTGTGGGGAAGACTACCCTGTTTCTCTTTTTCCCTTTGCCAGTTGAATGGTCATGTTCAGTCAGAGCATTTCAGCTTCCCAGCATTTAGAAAAGTTCTAACAGCTCCTTATTACATCCTTTCCACAGAATGTTGCAGTCCTGGCCCATCGGAGTAGCACTTCACAACTGACTCAGTTAGGAGCAGAAAACCAGGTGAAGGCTCTAGCCGAAGAAAGTGAGAAACTACAGGAAAAAATCAAAGAACTGGAACTGAGCGTGACACAACTTCAGACGCAGGTCAATGAGATGAAATTAGATGAAGTCAAAATGAAGGAAAAACTAAAGAAATGTGAGGTAAGAATCACTGGGGCAAGCTGCAAGTGTAGTGACATCTGTTCTTTATTCTCTTTCCCTTGTGTGTGTGGGAGACAGCAATGTTTTGAGGTGGGAAGGGATTTAGAATCATAATTTACCAGTGGAAAGCAATGTTAGAGTCCTTTGTGCAACCAGAATCATCTTTAGTCCTGTGTGAAGTTGTGCAAATGTGAAAACAGGTCAGAAAGAGGCATGGGAACAGTGTTGATATAGGCTCTGTGTGTGTGTGTGTGTGTGTGTGTGTGTGTGTGTGTGTGTGTATGTTATATAAATGCATATTCACAGTAAAATTTCACTTATGAAGAGGTCAGGCTTCAAGCAACCTCAGCTTCCTGGAATCTAGCCAAGAACCAGAAGTAAAAGAACCCAGAGCATCTGCAATAACCATCATGAAGTACATGTACTAAAGCTCATGTGTTTCAGTCTATAGGAATGAACCTTTAGGTTTTCTTCTTACTCTACTTGAAAGACACAATGCAGAGTAATCTTGGCTGTCTCATTTGCCAACACCCACAAGTTTGAAAAAGCAAGTTTTCATAAGGGATATGCTGTTGGAGAAAGGTCTGGAGTGGGGAGGGAAGGAGCCTGGTCCCCTACTAGTAGTGGTAACCATTAGGGAAGGAGAGAGAAAAACTAAATAAAGCAGGCATGTAATTGCGTGTATAGCAGCAGTACCTACAAATGGATATTCCCATTTATAACTCTGAATAGTCAATTAAAGGTTATATGTTCGGTTTCCCAATGCTATTGGCTTAAATGAAATTTTGCTTTATGTGCATCCATCTAGGTTGATAGATACGAGGAGAATTACTGCTATTTGTTGGGGGCCACCTTGGGTCCTGTTGCAGCTTTCTATGACAATACTCTTTGTTGTATCTACTGTTTTCTCTTACCCGTGGTGCTTACTTTATCCCACAGTGGCAGCTTCAGTGGCAGCTTCATTGGGTCTCAGTGTATTGTCCCCTCTTTTTCTTTATTGTAGGGAGAAAAGCAGCAGCTAGAAGAAGCCCTTTTACGTGCCAAAGACCAAGAAAAGGAAATGCTGTCAGCAAAAAGGGTCCTGGAGAATCAACTAGAGGACATTCAGGTAAAAATTAGGGGATGCTCTTTTTAATATCTCTCCAATGAAGCCCCAAATAAATGATGTACAAAGAACACAAAGAAATTGTTTCATCTTTACTCCTTCTCTTGAGGGCAGATTCTCTACCATACTCCAGCTATAATGTCATGACAGCTTTTAATCATTTCTCTGGCTGTTCTCCTGAAGTGTCATTTAGAAGTCAGATCCTTAGAAACTCGACAGTTTTCAGTAGGTGAAATGGGAATTTTTGTGGAAAGGTCTATATAATCATTTCCCCAAATGTGTCATGGTAGTCTTTTAAAACAAAACTCTGGGAAATTGTACTAGACTACAAGCCTACAACATGAGTTATCATAAAGATTTTAATTGAAACTAGGCAGCTGCTGCCACCCAAAGTCACTAGATTCTTAGCATATTAGGATGTTTTCTTGGTAGATCAGAAATCATGGTTTGAAGGGTATTTTCTAAAGATAGGATTTTGTATAATGACCTCTGTAAAAAGTACCTTGTGTTTTGTGATATCCTTCTCAACCCAGGCCCATGGTTTTTAAAGAAACAACATTTGAAACAACCCCCAGGCAGGTAATATAGTTTCTCAGCACTGAAAAGTTGATGTTTTAGAGAAATGTAGAAAAGGAAGAGCTGGTGAAAATTTCCACTTGTGAAAAATATAACTTCAGGCACATGAGAGTGCTGTGGTGAGAAACATTCAGAGACCAATTTAAAAGTGACCATTTGTAGCTGGAAAAGATGATGCATGCAGTGATTCTCTCACACTCTAAGCACCAACTCAGAGAGTATGGAAATAAACAGTTTTATTTGTTCTTTTTGGTCTGGCCTTGTGTAGTTCAACAACCGTTTTTTAAGTGTCTCTCCTGTGCAATGCACTGTATTAGGCTCTTAGTATAGAAAGATAAAAACTAGGGCAGATTTTGACTGAAAGAGTTTGCATTCTACTGACAGAATATGACACAAAGCCAGATAAATATAAGAGAATGTAGGGAATGAAGGTGGGAAAGGTGAGATGTCAGACAAAGTCCTTTAGGAATAATTCAGGAGAAAGGGGATACTAACCCCTGGGAAGAATCGACAGTGAGGAGGTAGCCCCTGACCCAAGCCTTAGAAGCATATAGACTCTAAAAGGGGGAAGTGAAGATGAGGGGCACATTTCAGGCATGAAGGTAGGAGATGGCCTGTCAAGTTTGGGGGACAACTAAAAATAACCAAATTTTGCAAAAACAGTTTGAAGGGGAGTATTATGAAATAAGTTTGTAAAGGCCGTCCCTAGCCAGATTATGGAGCACCTTAGAGAGCAGAATGAGGAGTTTGCATTTTGCCCTAGAAGCAAAAGGGCACCATCAGGGAGTAGGAAAAGTTATTTTGTTACAAAGTTATTTTAACTATTACAAATACCCAAATCAACTATAAAGGACATATGAAGAAAGATGCTGTCTGAATCCAGAGAAAGAAATGATAAATAGATGTATAGAATAATTTTATATATGTATATATATACACGCATGTGTATGTATACACACACACACACACACACACACACACATACCTGTCTAATGGTAGCCATCTCTAGGGCAGGGTAGGGGAGGCAAGGAAAAGAAGAAATTTACACGATAATTTTGTTGCATATTTGAAAGGAATATTGAAAGGAATAGCAAGTTGCGCATAGTAGATTTGCAGTTTCATGTGCAATTATCTTTTTTTATTATACTATGTTACTATACTTTTTTATTATACTATGTTAAAGAATTGCTTCTATAAATTCCATTTCTTCCATAAATTAAAAATAAAAGAAATTTTAAATAAAAGAAATGATGTTATCAAGTCCATACTTTAGGAAGATTATTTTGAAATCTGTGTGGAAGATGACCAGGAGAAGGGAGGCACTGGAAGCAGAAAGGCCAATTAGGAGATAAGTATAATAATCTTAGGTGATAGGTAATAAGGGCCTGAACTCAGGTAGTGGCTCTGAATAGAGGGGGACAGATGTTCTGAAGATAAAATCAGTAGGGCTTGGTAATTGATTGGATATTGGGAGTTAGGGTGTAGAGAAAGTCCGTTGATTCTAGGGTTTGGAAACTTGCAGACTAGGAGGATAGGGGTACCCTCAGTAGAAATAGGGAAGCTTAGAGGAAGAGCAATTTTAGGGGAAGATGATAAATTCAGTTTTGAACCTGTTTGTTTTTTCAGTATGGGAGGGACGGACAGCCAGGTAGGACTTTCTAACAGACAGTTAATTATTAATGTGGAATTGAGAAGAAAGAGAGAGTAAGGCTGCATACATAGATTTGGGAGTCATCTTTGTAGAGCAGAGGTTCTTAACATAGGGTCCATGGATCCCCCCAAGAGGTCGATGGATAAATTTACCTACCCATGAACTTGGATGGGAAAAATATTACATCTTTATTTTCATTGATGTCTAAAATGTAACATTTCCTTCAATTATTAAAAAAAAAAAAGTCTTAGAAGAGGTCCTTGGGCTTCCAAAGGCATCCATGATAGAAAAGGAATAAAAAAAAGGAAAAGATAAGACTGGTATAGAGGAACCTTTGGGAACAGGTGAAATTGCCAAGGAAAATAGTATATAGAGAGAATAGAAGAGGGTTTAGGACTGAGCCTTGGAGGATACTCATTTTTAGGGGGCTGGAGATAGATGATGATGCATGAAAGGGGGCTGGGAAAGTATTATCAGAGGAGTAGGAGAACTAGGAGAGAGCAGTATCATGGAAACCAAGGGGAGAAAGAGATGGGGAGGGGACTATTGACAGTGTCCAAACCTGCAGAAAGGTCAAGGAAGATGAGCAATGACAAAAGACCATTGAATTTAGAATTAAGAGCTCATTGGTAACCTTATAAGAGAATTGTTAGAAAGTTTGGAGGGTCAGAGGACGAATGGCAAAGGTCTGAGAAGTGACTGGGTGGTATTCATTCTAGGTGGTTTGTAGTGAAAAGGGGGAGAGCTGAAGGACAATAGCTCGAGGGAAAGATGGGATTAATTGAAGGCTTTCAAGGATAGGGGAGACCTGAGTATATTAGAGCAACGCGGGGAAAAGCCAGTAGATAGTAAGAGGCCAAGGCTAAAAGGGAGATAGAGAGAAGAAATGATAAATGGAGCAAACTCCTTTTGCAAAAGATGAGGAAAGATGTAAAAACTTTAGCCTTGACAAGATGGGTCACCTCATTCTTTGAGCCTGGAGCATAGGACAGGATAGAGAGAAGTTTTGAGTTGTTGAATAGGGGACATCACATGCTTGGGTAGATGAGGGTGTGTGGGGCAGATGGTCTCAGTTTTCTTAGCAAAGTTGGGGGCAAGGTCATTGATTAAGCAGATCTTGATTCTGAAGTTGCATCTGGCATCCTTGGCTTTTCTTTGCTTTATTTTTTATATCAAACTTTGCCATGAATCTTTATCAGCTAGTGATGTTTAGTTGGTATTCTCATGATCTAATTATTTTATCGTAGACAGTAACTTTTTCTGACAGGCTTCCCTTTGTCAGACAAAAATGATGTGGCATTTTCAGTGCTGTTGGTTTGTGTTTGTTGTAGGGTGGCTGTAAGAGTCAGTGGTCCAATTGCTTTATTTAAAATTTTTATCATTGTCTTTTTTTAAACATCACCTTCATTTCCAAATATGTATGTCACCCTTCTCCCCAAGACAGAGAATCATCCCTTGCAATAAAAACAATAGGAAAAATGAAACCCTGCAGTTCAACAAAATATATCAGCTGAGTCTGACATGGTATGCAATATTCTAAACTCAGAGTCCTCTGCAAAGATGATGCATTTTCTTATTTCTGCTTCAGGGCTAGTTTTGGTCATTATAATTACACAGCACTGAATTTTTTCCTCCAGTAGTTAAATTTCAACAACCATTTGTTGAACGCCTACCATGCACAAAGCATTGTGCTAAGTGCTGGTGTTTCAAAGACGAAATAAGTTATAGCTGATGCCCATATGGAGCTTAAACCTAATAGGGAAGATTAGACATATATGCAAATAATTAGAGGCTCAAATAATGTACTTTGAAACATTGGCAGATGAGAGAAGAGAGCTTTCCTTGAACGGAAAAGGGAAGAAAGGAAGATAGAGTTGGGCATTGCAGATGGATTTTAGTTTATGAGCAATTTGGGAACAGAAAAGGAGAAAACACTAAATCCTGGGCCCAACTTTTACACATGTCTGAGAACATCTGTGTCTTTGTCCTGTCATATCAGGAGGTTTCACACATACTGAAGGATTTCACCAGCTGTAAATCTACAGTCAACAGCTAATTCTCTGTACGGAACAAATAGTGGCTGAAAGCCTAGAGATGTTAATGCCCTTTTTTTTTTCCTCTGGAATTTCTATTTGTGCTTTGGAAATTATCTTTGACGTGCCACTTTTTTCAGCGTCTGTTTTCCCAGCTGTGGAAAAGGCTAGTCTATCATACTGGCAGTGTGGGATAATGGGAAGAGTCTTCGTCTTGCAGTTAGTTCATTCAAGCTCTGGCTCAAGCACTTTCTATAAGTGTCATCTTAAGCAAGTCCTCAGCAAAAGTGGGCTAATGAAACCCGCCTTGGCTAACTCAACAAGGTTTTTGGAACAATGATGTTAGCTCTCATTTCCATAGCTACTTATAAAATGTGTTCCTTGTAACATTCCCATGGAAGAGGTGGTTCATTTCAGGATAAAATAATCTCATGTATGTGAAAGCTTTTTGTGAAATGCACTATACAATTTGAAAATATTAATACAGGATATCACAAAATACTTTGTGCCTTTTTAAGTTATTAATGGTATTGGAGCTTGAAACGGCACAAAAACTTTTGGGATACCCTGTATTATGCACTGAAAACACTGGTGTCGGTATTTGCTATTCACTATCCAGCCGGAAATTTTAGCCATTTAGGTTTGTAGTTCTCATTGTCTTACCTACATTGTTTGTACTCTGAAATAATTCCATAATAATCACACTGTCTAGACAGTTCATGTTTATTAGACTCTGAGATACCATTTATTTTCCATCTAAAAAACAAATGGTCTTAGTAATTTTCTTTTTGTGTTTTAAAGATTACTGCCTAAAAGAGAGTTAAGCTCTCTAGAAGACCAGGGAGAGATTCATTGGCATTTTTTTAAGTCTGCCTTAAAGTTTTTAAAATTTCAAAATATTGGGTATTTAATATTCTATTACATCCAATTTCAATATCTAAAAAATCCTGGGTACTCCCTGTGAGTACTCCCTTTCTCTATTGATACAGATTGAGACCTCTCCATGCCATTAGTATGGTATCTGCCACATTTATTTTTGTTGTTCAGTCTTTTTAGTCGTGTTCCACTTGTCGTGTCCTCATTTGGGGTTTTCTTGGCAAAGATACTGCAGTGGTATGCTATTTCCTTCTCCAGCTCATTTTATAAATGAGGAAACTAGTGCAAACAGGGTTAAGTGACTTGCCCAGGGTCACACAGCTAGTAAGTGTCTGAGGTCAGATTTGAACTCAGGAAGATGAGTCTGCCTGACTACAGGTCCAGCACTCCTAGCCGCCCCATCTGACACATAGTCAGTGCTTAGTAATCACTTGCTTATTTGATTGATTATTGGTGGTATTTATGACTTTACTGAGACTGGGGGAAAAACTCACCTTTTGGTCCTTCTGCTGTTGAACTGAAATAGGCAAATCAAATGGGTCTCTACTCAAAACTTTTGCAGCTTGGTGTAGGCCTCTCTAGACCTTTCAGTTTGTGAAACCAGAGTTGCCACAATATAGGGCTGTTGATCTTATAGTCTGATTTAGTACTTTTTAATACTGGCTTCTTAACAGCCTGTTTGTTTTATACCTGCTTTCTTATTGTACCTGTTTTAAAATGATGGCTTACGTAGACTGAGAGAGTTTTGAGGACAGTGTTTGTTCTTAGGACCACTTTAAATGAATAAAGTTGATAGCACTTTGACCACCCTCCCTAAATTTGCACCTAGCTACAGGTACAAATAAAGGTGTCCTTTGTCCCAGAGGAACTCAGGGTACATTTCCTTAGCAGCAGCTCATAAAATCTTGATCAAAACAGTTTCTCAAAGGGTGTAACATGGGGTTGATAATCTCTTAAGACACATTAAATGAATACTAAGTGAGCACTTGTCCTGTGTTATTTCTTACTAGATGTTATGAGACATATGGGACAGCCAGGAGGCTCAGTGGATAAAGTGCTGGGCCTGAACTCATCTTCCTGAGTTCAAAAATAGCTTCAGATGCTTATGAACTATGTGACCTTGGGCAAGTCACTTAACTCTGTTTGCCTCAGTTTCTTCATCTGTAAAATGAGCTGTAGTAGGAATGGTAAACCACTCCACTATCTTTGCCAAGAAAACTCCAAATGGAGTCAATGAGACGAATGAACAACGAGAAATAAACACATGGAAAATATATTCCACATACCCTTGCAGTCTAGTTGGGGATAAGTACCAAGAAACAAAAAGTCTAAAATTAATGAGACTATCATAAACTACTGTATAGCAAGTGCTTGTCCTCTTTCTTCAAGTGCTGCTGCTTTTTTGGGAGTTCTAGAGATTTCCAGAGAAGAAGCCTTCTAGCCAATATCTAGATGTTGAAAGCCAGAGACCTATATTTAGCATGCATTAATTTACTGAGGGGGAAGACCTCTGGCTTAACCTGAGATACTTGGGGACTTGTGGAGTGTGGCAAGCGAAGATGGAAAGATACTTTTGAGGAGGTACAACTCAATCTGTAAAGGGTTGTTATAAATCTGTGTTTCTGGGCATCAGAGAGAAGTCCTGGGCTTTAGTTGTGGTGATTTTTCAGACCATAGAAAGGAGGAAAGGGGATTAGTGATCCAAAGAAAGGCATTCCTTTAGCACGTAGTACATGTTAAGTAAAGGGCAGCAAGGTGGCACAGTGGAAAGAATACTGGGCCTGGAGTCAGAAGACTCATCTCCCTGAGTTCAAATCTGGCCTCAGATCCTTAACCCTGTTTCCTCAGTTTCTTCGTTTGTCAAATGAATGGGAGAAGGAAATGACAAACCACTCCAGTATCTTTGCCAAGAAAACCCCAAATGGAGTCACACAGAGTCAGATGTGACTGAAAACAACTAAACAACAAAAAGTGCTAAATAAATGCTTGTTAATTGATCCGGCTACCTCATATTTAAGGACTGAGGTATAAGTTCTTGGTCATTTTCTCACATTTAGAACAATTCCAGGGGAAGTACCAGAACCCTTTATGTAACTTTCTCCTAAAACATTAAATAATAATAACCATCCATGATATGAACCATTTATTCAAAAGCTGAAGGACTGATTGCCTTAGATTTTTTGCTCCCTCTTTTTTGTGTTTATTTGCCTTGAATTGCAGCTGTAAAAGCTTTATCAGTCGGTCTTTTGACTCTTTATGAAGGGAAATGTAAATTAACAAGACAGCCCTATCTGTGTACCAGGAGACTGGTGGTGTGCTGCTTCTGTTCCTCAGTTACTTGTAGGATGAAGTTGCTGGGATTCCCTTCCCCTCCCATTTGTGTGGGATGCTCCATTTATTTCTGCTCATGTAACAGAATAGGAGAGTGACAGTGGGGTTATCCTCCTAAAAGTATGTTGGTCATATGTTCAAGATGGACGGGGTGTTGAGTAGGATTTGAATACTCTGTCCTATACAAGATAGATATAATACAAAATCAGTGCCCCAAAACACTTACCATTTTTTTTAATGAATGGGGGGGATTGCAATAGACGGAACTGCCTATTTTTGCCATCTCCTTTAAAATTCCTCTCCAGTTGCTTTCTTTTCTGCTGGCTGGAACTAGCATCATGACCTAGTAGAATAAAGTAAGATGCTGGCTTACATTGCCTTTTCAAAAGACTTCTGTCTCTAGAACTTTGTACAGTACTAGGTTTAAGGAAAACCGTAGTAATCGAGGCAGATGGCACAGTACAGTTGTGTTGAACTCAAATAGAAACAGGGACCACTAATCATAGATAAGAATCTCTGCGGGCCACATAGTATATGATTTAGTTTAAAAAATGTAATATTATCTATGTTGTATATTTATTTGTTTTGTTAAATATTTCCCAATTACATTTTAATGTAGTTGAGGCTATCCTTGGGAGTGTCTGGACTACAAGTTTGACATCTCTGACAGAGAGGATAGAGAGCCAGACTTGGAGTCAGGAAGACCCAAGTTCATATCCTGTCTTAGACACTTATTTGAATATATAGGGTATCCCAAAAGCCTTAGTGGAGTTCTTTTATTAAAAGCTTAAAACTACACTAAGATTTTTAGGAATACACACACACACACACACACACACATATGCATATATACACATATATGTATTATAGTATGTGTGTTGTATATAAATATATTAGAATATATTATATATAATTTACATGTATATGTTAGTTATAAATATATATTGTGTACACATAGGTTATATAAAATATAAAAATATATGGGCAGCTAGTTGGTGCAGTGAATAGAGTACTGGGCCTGGAGTCAGGAAGACTCATTTTCCTGAGTTCAAATCTGGCCTTAAACACTTACTAGCTGTATAACCCTGGGCATATCACTTAACACTATTTGCTTCAGTTTCTTCATCTGCAAAATGAGCTGGAGAAGGAAATGGCAAACCACTCCAGTATCTTTTCCACAAAAACACTCAATGGGGTTACAAAGAGTTGGACATGACTGAAAAACAACTGAACAACTATAATTATACAAGTATATAAAAATACGTACCTGTTATGTAAATGTGTGTGTGTGTGTGTGTGTGTGTGTGTGTGTGAAATAGCCTTCTTTTGCTTTTATAAAGTCCTAGAGTGATGTTTCACTGGATAGTAAAAGACTGGCGGGTCCTATAGGCCTGGAAACACTTTTATTAGAGGTCAGGTAAAAGTGAGTGCCATCCTTACATGAAGTGATGTAAAGTGAGATGAGCAGAACCAGGAGAACATTGTACATAGTAACAGCAACATTGTGTAATTATCAACTAAGATTGACTTAGCTCTTCTCAGCAATACAACAATCCCAGACAATTCCAGAAGACTCATGGTGAAAAATGCTATCCACATCCAGAGAAAGAACTAATAGAGAATGAATGCCTATTGAAGCATACTAGTTTCCCTTTTTTTCCATGTTTTTTTCCCTTTGCAAACTGTAATTGTTTTGCAAACTGTTTCTTCTTTCACAACATGATTGATATGGAAATCAATTTTACGAGATTACACATATATAACTTGTATCAAATTGCTTACTGTGTTGGGGAGGGGAGAGGATAGGAAGGGAGGGAGAAAATTTGGAACTCAAAATTTTATAAAAAATAAATGTTAGAAATTGTCTTTACATGTAATTAGAAAAAATAAAATACCATTAAAAAAAAAAAGAGCTAGTGCCATGTCTGGATTAGCTTAGCTAAGTTATGAGAAGTTTTTCACCAGGTTAGCTTCAGGGTAATGACTTTTTTGAGCTCCAAGAGCCTATCCGCTTAAATCAGGACTGTTCAACCTGTGGCGTGCAGACCTGACTTAGATGATTGGGTTGTGATATTAGTTGGTGGAAGGACTCATCACACTGCTTGAAATACTGAAATGAGAATGAGCCTTACTTTGACCTGCTTCTTTTTCATTGATTCAGTTCCTTAAGGTATTTATGAAAAATCCCTTGCACCATCTGATTTTCATGGCTGGTGCTGACAAGTTGTTAGTAAGGTTATATTTTACTCCTCTGCCCATCTCTACCCTGTCTTCTGTCACCTGTAGAGAAATCTCAGCCGGGCCACACAGGAGCAGCAAAATCTCTCTGAGAAGTTACAAGATGAGACAGATCAGAAGGAACAGTTGAAGAGGTTGAAGAATGAAATGGAGAATGAGCGATGGCAACTGGACAAGACCATTGAGAAACTGCACAAGGAGGTAAGGAGGCCTGCAGGGCAGGAAGCATTATGGAGGCAAGTGATTCCTTCATAGCAAAAACCCACCTTGGCTCCTTTCTGTGCTAACTTGGCAGAGGGTTTTCAAGTCAAGCCAAGTTAGAAATATTTATTAAACACCTACTATGTGCCAGGCAGCATATTGAGCTCTGGGATACAAAAATGGCAAAAACAGCCCCTGTCCTCAAGGGGCTTACATTCTAATGGGGAAGACAACGTGCAAACAACTATATAGAACAAGTTACATACAGGATAACTTGGAGTTAATCTCAGAGAAATTATTAGCTTCAAAGATAAAATTAATGTATGGAAAGTAAGTACATTGTCACCTTTGTTTGCTACAAACACTTTCCCTATTGCCTTCTCATCCCTTCATCTCCCTCAGTTTCCCACTCCACAAAATACAGATTTTTAGGTTAAGTGAACTTTAAGACTCTTTTTCTCTTTGAGGGCATTTTATTTTTTGAGCTAACAGCTCCTGCTTGTTTTAAGAATGCCCTTGTAGCATGGGTTCTGAACACATGGGTAGGGCTTCAACCCTAAATAGGTCATTTTCTAATGAGATGAAGTGTATTCATCATGGGAGCTATACAAAATGAACCAAGCAGATGTCTTTTGGTGGATTACATCAAAAGCATTTTTTCTTCAAAGAAGGTGACCTTCAACCTATACGTTAACCTCTGCCCCAGGCACTTTACAAAATCTTTCTGGAGGAAAAAAAAAAAACCTGTCCAGTTTGGGAGGGGCAAGGTAAATTTGGCAGTATATCAGATCAGAGGATTTGGAGTTGGTAGGGACCTTCAAAAGGAGCTAGTCTAAATTCTTATTTTATAGATGAAAAAAATCAGCCCAGAGAGGGCACCTGATTTGCCCAAGGACACAAGATGGTAGTGACTAAGCTGGGTTTCAAACCTCCAAGTCTTTTTATGCCAAATCTAATTTTTTTTTCATGGTATCACATGGATTCCTTAGGATGACATTACTTAAGTAGAACAGGAGCAAAAAGTTAGATTTCTAGCTGTCTGAGATGGGCTTTCTATATATCTTCCCATTGGGACTCAAACTGCCCCTGGAACCATGACCTCTGAGAAATAAGTTTTTACTTAGTCTTACATGGAACCAGGCCACTGTGCCTTTTACTAGCCATTTTTAAATGATGCCATCTCCCATTTCCCACCCACCTTACTTCCAACTCTATCTTCTCTTTACATCTTATCTTCCCCTATTAGAACCTAAGCCCTTTGAGGACAGGACTACCATGCTTGTTTATTTCTGTATTCCTAGTATGTAATAAGTGCTTAATAAATGCAACTCTTCATTTATTCATGTGTATTTTTTCTGTAGATGGCCGACATTGTGGAGGTTTCACGGACATCAACTCTGGAACTCCAGAACCAGCTGGATGAATACAAGGAGAAAAATCGCCGGGAGCTTGCCGAAATGCAGAGGCAATTAAAAGAGAAAACCGTGGAAGCAGAAAAATCCCGCCTGACAGCCATAAAAATGCAAGATGAGGTAATGGCTAGTTGGTTCCCTTGGTTAACCTCTAAATCAGAAGTACGCTTCTGATGTCTCAAAATGATGGATCTTTGTACTGCTTTGGGGTAGGCTCTGCAGATTGTTTTTGGATCTGGATGCTTAGATAAGACAGAAAAATTTTTAGGATTCAGAGGCGAAATATTTTGTTGTGATTAAAGGTAAAAAATAATGGATGATTCAGTTTTATCTAATAAGCATTTATTAGGCACCTACTAAATGTCTGGTGCTGTGCTAGGGACTATGGTACAAAGAGAAAAACAAAACAGTGCCAAGGATAGAGTGTGGGACTTGGAATCAGGAAAATCTGGGTTTTAATCCAGCCTCAGATATTTACCTCTTGTGTTATTCTGTGCAAATCTCTTCTCTTAGCTTCAGTTTCCTCATCCATAAAATGGAGCTACTTATACCTGTAACATCATAGAATTAGAGGCGGCTAGATGATGCTGTGAATAGAGCAGTGGGCCTAGACTCAGGAAGACCTGAGTTCAAGTCCAGCCTCACATACTTTCTAGCTGTGTGTGACCTTCAGCAAGTCACTTAACCCTGTTTGCTCAGTTTCCTCTTCTGTAAAATGGGGACAATAATAGCACTTACGTTGCAGGGTTGTTGTGAAGATCAAATGAGATAATAACGGTAAAGTGCTTAGCATAGTGCCTGGCACACAATAGGTGCTATATGTTAGCCACCACCATAATCATCATGATGTTATTTAGGGAGATTAAATAAGATAATGTTTACAGGTGCTTTGTCAGCCCTAAAATGATATTTTAATATCAGTTATTAACATAAGTATACAGTTCAGAGCCTCAAGTATACAGTCTGTTATAAGTTGGCAATATATAGAATTCTACTTAAGAAGCTAGCTGTGGGCCAACTTTTAGTTTGTGTTGCATCTTTTGAATTGCTTTTCTACCTTTTGGTTGTTTAAAACAAAAGATTTTATTTGATAAAAAGGGCAGGGGAGGTCACTCAGATCACTGCAGTAATCTGGTATTAAATACTGAAATGCTCACAGGAATCGGGAATGCTAGTTATACTCTACACACACACAGACACACACACAGACACACACACACACACACACACACACACACACACACACACACCCATTGTCACTTTTTGGGGAAAACAAAGTTAAGTACAATAGGACACACCTGAAGCAAACAAATTAGCTTCATGTGGCCACATGACTTAGTGTCCCCCAGGTATCCGACAGCTATAAGAATCTAAAAGTTCTTGAAAGTCTCTAGTGGGAGGCACATTGATTTGGCTGCAGGATTCCCTTCTAGCTAAAGAAAATCTTAAAAAGTAGAATTTAAGAGTTAGAGAAACTCTAGAGGTCATCTGTAGTCTACTGGTGCTAAACCTTTTTGGAGTATTTTTTTTTTAATTCTCTTTTTCACATCAAAAAATTTCTTGAACTTCCACACCATGGCAATTGCAGTTTTTGTATCCATTCATTGGGAGGTAAAACCATAATAAAGAAAAGCCATTCTGAAAAAGGTCATATTTCATTCTGAAGGCCAGAAAACACTTTTTCCCCCCTACTTCTATTAGGCACAAATGAAGCATTGATAATATAAAACCACTGATACAAAACCCCTTATGCACCCTTTTGTTGGAACTAAATAAAACCCAAATGACAATACTTGGTGAGCATATGGTTTATAGAACCCTTGCAATAACTTCGTGGCCCCCAAGAGTCTGGGGCCCACAGTTTGAGAGCCACTGATCTGGTCCAGTGCTCTCATTTTACGGATCAAGGACCTGAGGCCAAACAAGGTGAAATGACTTGTACAGAGTTACACAGCCAGTGAGTGGCTGGCTCTTTCTACCATGCCCGGGATGATTCTATGAGACCTCTTCTTAAGCTCCTCCAAGTGCTCTTCAGGTTCTCAAGTTTATTATTAAGAGCACAAGCTCCTTCTCTCTCTCCCTCCCTCCTTCCTTCCTTCCTTCTTCCCTTTCTCTGTCTCTCCCCTCCCTCCTTCCTTTCCCTAAGTCTGTCTCTGACTCTATCTTTGTCTCTCCCCTTCCTCCCCCTCCGTCTCTCTCTTTCCCTCAATCTCCCTTTCCCTTTCTCTCTCTGTCTCTCTCCCCTTGTCTCTGTCTGTCTCTTTCTTTCTCTGTCTGAACCTGCTCCCCACCTCCCCACTCCCTTCTCTCACCTCAAAAAGTGCACGAGAAAAAAACCTTTACTTCAAACAATAAATTTGGAACTGTCAGCCAGCCCCATGAGTAAATGGTAAAGAGGCTGAAAAAAGTGTAGGCCTTTAAAAAATAATCTTTTGAGGAGCTCATTGGATCTTAAAGGAGCTTGATAACAGGATCCCCAATCACTCAAATTCACATAAAACTGTAATGAAGCTTGAAGTTGAGACTGATACGTAGGTATTAACGTTTTCTCTAGCATTTTTGAAAACTTTTTATTTCTGAAGTTCTGTAGCATTGTGGCGTCAGAAACACCTGCCTTTCAATCTGGCCTCTGACCTCTTCACCTCCCAGCTGTGTGACCCTAGGCAAGGCATTCAGTCTTGGAGCCTCAGGCTGATATCTAAGACTAAATTAATGACTAGGTTGTGATTTGTGTTGGTAGAGTCATTCTTAACACCAATGAAATAACATGACCTTGGCATGTTTTGTTTTTATTTCCCCAGAAAAGGGGGAGATTATTCTCAGGTGTTTCATCTGGACACCCAAAATCTACCCACTTCTTATGTTGTTTTTTAAAAAATATTAATTTTTTAACCAACAATTATCAAGCATTCCTCTTTTTCCTCTCCCCATTCACTGAAAAAAAGATAGAAATAAACACAGAATTTCTGTATCACAAGCACAGTCAAGCAGAAGAAATTCCCATGTCGGTAGCATCCAAAAATGTGTTTCTTATTTTGCATATTCGTCCATCACCTCTCTGTTATGAAGTGGGAGGCATTCTTTTTTTCTTTAGTCCTCTGGAATCAGAGTTGATCATTGTTAATGAGAGTTCTTAAGCCTTTCATAATTGTTTATTTTTATAATATTGATGTTAAAGTATAAATTATTCTTCTGGTTTCAAGGAAAAAAAAACACAGACAAAATGCAATAGGGCAGCTTCTGTCAATACCATGAATTCAATGTTCCAGGCCACAAGTGTGCTTTCCATTGCCTGTTGTTGGTGCCAAAAGGGCACTAATAATGTTTATCAAAGTACTGAGCACTAACAGAAGGGAGCAAACATCGCAAGATCCTGCTGTGGATTCAGTACTAGATGTTGAGAACACTGTAACCTGCAGGACAGGAACTTTTCAAATATCACCTTCGATCCAAGTGCCACGCTGCAGTTACAGAGCTGTTTGAAATTAAATGAATAAATAAACAAGGACCTTAAAAAAAAAACAAACCCCACAGACATGATGGATCTTAGAAAAACTTGGTGTGTTCCCTTTGTTAATTGCCTTTTTCTTTACAAAGGCCTGGAAATTCTATTTTATTTCCTATGTTGAGAATCAATTAAACATCTGAGGAAGGTGGAGGATCTCTGACTATGCTTAAAGAAGAAATTATCCTAGGATTAATGCCCTGGTCCTTTTTTTTTTTTTCCTTACTACATACAGTTTGGCAAAGGGAAATGCCCAGTTTGGGTGAGAATAGATCTGTTGTATATCCTCATAATGAACAATGCAGACATTAAAATTAAAATTATCTCTCACTTTATTTTGATCAAAGATGAGTTGTTGAAAACTTAACTTTTCTTTCTTATCTGTCAATTCCCACATGTTTATCAAGTAACTACCATACAAAAAGTACCTCTAGAGTCTGTAGGGAAGATAAATAGGTAATAGAAAGCTGTATCTGATGAAAGAGGAAAAACCCTTTCTCATAGAGATTTAGATTTTTTCCAAGTTATTATATTTCTTGACTAATAATTCTAGTAGGAAACTTATTTTTTCAATGAACAAAAAACTATTTTCTCTGCCTTATACCTTTTCCCTTTGGGGGAAAAAAAGAAACAAAGAGTAAACTTCTTAGGACCATCATATGTGGCATATAAGAACATACAATGAGTTTTCCTCATCTTTAGCATGAATTCTGCACACCTTTAATCTTTTTCTTTTATTCTATTTGTAATGTTTGAAAACATGCCATTTTTGGATGGGTTTAGGTCAAGGCTGCTAGGGTCAGCCTGTGAGATAGGGAAAGAGGTGTGGTTTTTTTGGGGGCAGGTCTCTAGAGGAGTACCCTACTCTGCTTCTAGACCTAGTCCATTTCTTTTTCATGGAAAGTGGTCCCAGGTTGGAAGGTTTATTCATGGATGCCTCTTCTAAACTGCTGGTTCAGTGCCATCTTGTGGGCGAAAAAAATACTGTAAGTGATTGACTGTGGCATTGGACAACATGGCATTTTCTTGAAGGAACCTGGAGTGACATTAACTTCTGGATAGCTTTGTTTTTCATTTCATTTGCATTTCTGTATATTCTGGCTCTGTATGTTGCTTTAGGATAATATTTTTCTCAGGTTATTATTTCTTAGCATTTTGTAGAACGATCATAATAAGCTCACAGATGTTGAACTGGAAGAAATTTCAGAGGTTAGCTAGTTCAACCTCCATGTTGTAGATAAGGAAACTGAGACCTGGGGGAATTTTAAGTGACTTGCCCAATATTACACAGTAAGCATCAGGATTTGAACCCAGGTCCTCTGACTTCAGAAAAAATATCTTTTCCACTGGACCATCCTGGGATTTTAAATTGGAAGGGACCTTAGAAGTCATTATATCTTCATTATTTTATAAATGAGGAAAATTAACCTACAGAGATGAAGTAACGATTGACTCTGAGGTATGAAGAAAAGGATGAAGGTTATTACTTAGTGTATATGTTTGGGAGAGGAGAGGGTTGAGGGTCTGTAAGGAGAGGTGACTACATAAATTGAAGATGGTCCAGGCTTGTTCCATCCCCTAGAGATAATACTACTGAGAGTTAAACCTGGTGTAAAGTGTCTTCAGCATCCTTGCATTTCCATTTCTTAGGTTCTTCTCCTTATTCTTTATTTCTAGGGACCTAATGCTGTCCCTTGGCTGTCTGAGACCCCTACTGCCTTCCCATCCTTCAGGCATTTCTTTCCCCTTCCCCATTCCCAAACTAATGGCTTTTTCCTCACATAAAAAAAAATTAATCTGATACAAAAATCCCCATTCCATTGTTAAATATTGATATTGGTCTAATTGGGTACCTAGAGGAATTCGAATATATAAAGCCTTAACCTAGAGTCAGCAGTCAGTCAAAAAACATTTATTAAGCAATTATTATATGCCATGCATTGTGCTTAGCACTGGGAGTGCAAAGAAAGGCAAAAAGCACTGTTCCTGCTTTTAAGGAACTCACATTATAATGAAGGAAACAACATGCAAATCACATACAAGATATATAATATAGGTAAAGGTAGTTTGGAAGGGAAAGTAGCTGGGAGAATTGGGAAAGGCCTTCAAAGGAAAGGATATATAATGGTGATGTTTCAGACATTCTTTGGACCAGTGGGACATACATGTGAGGCAAGGAGGACTTTGTGTTGTCATGGAAATCATCTCACATCACAACCCTTCCTAGCAGTGTGACCACACTGAGCCTCAGTTTCCTCTTTTATAAAATACTTGCATAACTACTTCCTAGGTCTGTTGTCAGTCTTGTGTTTTGTAACCTTAAAGTAATGTGGCATAGACATATATATAAATATATATATTTGACTGTTTCTATAATTTCATCATTGTAGGGAGCTCCCATTGAGAATTTCTCTCTGCTGATGTAGATGCAGATTTATGCCTTCTTTGCAATTTATAATATGAGTTGCATGGGGTACTGCCAGGTAAAGTGAGTTGCCCAGGGTCACATAGCCAGTATGTGTTAGAGTCAGAACTTGAAAAGCAGGTCTCCTTAATTCCAAGGCAGGCTCTATCCATTATGCCATACTGACAACATCATCATCATCGATAATAATATAGTAATAAGTAGTGATAGTAGCGATGGAAGTGGTAATAGTAGTAGTTGTGATGCTGGTGGTAGTAGTGGTTGTGATGGTAGTAGTAGTAAGGAGTAAGAACAGAGGTGGTGGTGGTAATAGTAGCAGTGCAAGTAGTAGTAGTTGTGATGATGGTGGTAGTAGTAGTAGTAGTAGTAGTGGTAGTAGTAGTAGTAGTACTAGTAGGGACTAAGGGTAGGAGTGATGGTAGTGGTAGTACTAGTAGCGGTAGTCATAGTAAATACAGCTATATATTTTTGTTCCTAATCTAGGCCTGGGGAACATGTTCCTAGACACATTAATAGGTAGAGGGAAAGGATAATGAAGTGAAATATTTTTTTCTCATACCTCTTCAGTGTTTTCCTAAGTTAATTGAGCAGCAAGTGAATCAATTATCTACCTTTTCTTCTTCGAATGCAATTGAGGACATGGACCAAGATGGATGGAGGTTGAGGGTCAGGGGAGGATGATATAGACTGACTAAGACCATATCTCATTTCCTTAGGTATTTTAGACATTTTTTTGTGAAAGCTTATGCACAGCTTGCTTTGGTAGCCTCCCTCACCCATTTTTGGAATATGTTGGGGGAATCTCAATAAAAAGGTTGAGTTATGTTGATGGCAGATTTCAAGGATGATGTTCGATTCAAGAAACATACTTAGCAACCACTATATAGTAAGCACTGTGCTAGCTAGATGCTGGAGGAGATACAGAGGTCTAGAAAACATATTGTCTCTGTGTTCATGAAGTTTATAATCTAGTTCAGGTGTTCTTTACCTGGGGTCTATGAACTTAAAAAACAGCATTATGGCAACTGTGTTTCAATATAGTTGGTTTCCTTTGTAATCCTATGTATTTTATTGTATGCATTTAAAATCATTATTCTGAAAAGGATACACCTTCATAGGCTTCACCAGACTAATGAATAGGTCCATGCCTCTCCCAAAAAGGCTGAGAACCCTTGGCCTAGACGTACATAATCATGTTACAATGGGGGAGCAGTGTAATCAAGTGGAAAGAACATTGGATTTGGAGCATCTGGCTCTTGTTACTTACTACCTGTATTATGTTGGGCAAGTCACTTAAGCCTCTCTGAGGGTCTTTCCTCATCCTGCAGAGAGGAGGTTGGACAAGTTGTTGACTAAGGTACCTTCTAGCTCTCAACCCTGTGCAAACAATCAAAGAGATACAATCAAAGTGCAGCATGAACTTCAAAGTATTGGTGGGATTTATCTCTCCCTCTCAATGACAGGATAATTATTTCATCAAAAGAGATTCACATATCAAAAGCTCTATCCATATACTGGTTTTTAATTTAGGTTTTCCTTTTTATTATAGGCTTAAACATCAACAGACATAAACGTTGCCACATAGAACAGAAAAATAGATTGTATATTAAACTATAACTTCTATTTTATACAGTTTTCTAAGTGTATATTAAATTTAGCATGAGAGAAACAAAATTGCCCCTCCTTGTCTGTATTCCCTTTTGCTCTCCTTTGTGTATTCAAGAAATGTTTTGTTTATGTTCTTTTTTTCTTCTACATATTGTTAATAATATAATAATTGAAACAAGTTTCATAAAGCACTTTACTAATATTATTTCATTTGATTTTCACAACAATCCTGGGAGGCAGGTGCTATTATTATCATCCCCATTTTATAGTTGAGGCAGCTGAGGCAGAGAAAAGTTAAGAGACATGCCCAGGGTCACATAGACAGTAACTTGCTGAGGCCAGATTTGAACTCTGGTCTTTCTGACTCCAGATCCAGTGCTCAATCCACTGTGCTACCACCTGCCTGCAGAAGCTCCTTAGGAACTGGACCAAATACAATAACTTTTGTAACCCCAGGAACGAGTGACCTAGTATAGTTTAATCAATGCCTACCTTTATGACCAGAGCTCAGTCTTTCCATCAGCTTTCCACAAGCCTCTTGTTGGGGGTTCATTGTCTGCCAGGATTTTTATCTCATTCACAGGTTACAGGGTAATGACCATCTCTCTCCTTGCAGATGCGCCTGATGGAGGAGGAGTTACGAGACTGCCAAAGAGCTCAAGATGAAGCCCTCACAAAAAGAGAACTTCTGCAACAAACGTTGAAAGACCTCGAGTATGAACTGGAGGCCAAGAGTCATCTTAAGGAGGACCGCAGTAGACAAGTCAAGCAAATGGAGGTAGAGTTAATAATAGCTAACAGTTATATTGCAACATGTTCCAGGCATTGAGCTAAGCACCTTACACTTATTATTTCATTTGATCCTCACAACTCTGAGAGGGAGGTGTTATTATTATCCCCATTTTACAGATGATGAAACTGAGGCAAACAGAGGTTAGGTGACTTGCCCAGGGTCATCTAGCTAGTATCTGAGGCCAGATTTGAACTCGGGTTTTCTTGAATCCATGCCCATCTCTCTTTACTGTTCCACCTTGGTGTCTTCATGATCAAAAGAGAGTAGATCTTGGAAAAGTTTGAAGATTTTCCCTCTAAGCTTTTAGGCTATAAAATCACTCATTTTCATTTTTCTTGAGTTTCAGTTCTCTTGAGAACTTAGTAGTATCATTTCAATTCTATTGAGTTTCAATTGTCTTGGGAATTTAGTAATATCATTCCTTTATATGATTAAGATACTCTGGTGAGAGGGTGGGGATTCATAGACCAACAGCACCTGAAGGGACTTAGAAGTACTAGTACAGCTCCTTCATTTTAGAGATGACAAAGCTGAGACCCAGAGGAATTAAACAACATACCTTACATCACACAGAAAGTTAGTTGCAGAACTCAGATTTAGAAGCCAGTTCCAGAGTCCTCAATGTCATTGCATTTTGGGTTCCTATTTCTAACTAATCTTTGCTCATGTGTAATCCAGCTTTGCAAACATATAAAATATGATAAATATGGTATAATTTAATTCCACAACTACTTAATGAGCACTGTGATATACTTAGCACTGTACTAAAAACTTTGTGGAATAGGGCTTTCTAAAATAAACATCGAACTTGGACCCTGCCCTCGGGAAGTTTACCATTATGTGGGAAAGAGAAGAAATAAACACATGAAAACAAATAACAGTATGAGACAATTGAAAATAAAATCTCAAATTCATTTACTAAATAGGTGTGAGTCCTTCAGACAACTAGAAACACTTAACAAATAACCAAAAAAAATGTAAATCAAATCAGAAAATCTAAATAAGAATAATGCACTGACAGCTGTATAGGTGTAATCTTAGATTCATCACACCCATACTTAAAATAGCACAATACTTAGAACAATGTCGTCCAAAAAAATAGCACTATCTAATATGACAATGAGACTTTTGAGAAAAAGCTGGATTAAAATAAAACTTGGATCACATTAACAGAAGTTAAGATGTCAAAATATTTTTAGGAGGCAGATAGATGTTGCTCAAGGACAGGGTGAAAAAGGATGAATTCGTAGTCAATGTAATTCTTGAATCTGTTTTGCAAATAACTACTTTCCCCTACCCTCTTCAAAGGCAAAGAAAACACTGATATCTAGTGAATATTAATTCTGATATTACCAATTTCTCTAGATATGTCTCTCCTAGGAGAAAGAATAAGCAGGCTAAATATAATTTTTCTTTTCTCTTAAGATAGTTGCAAATTGCTAATAGGGCCCTAACATGCTTATTTTCTAGGAATCTGAGAGCTAACTGTAAGACAAACAAATATTAACTCACGTAATCAGAAGCTCAGTGCCCTCCGCCCCACATGGCAATCTCATAAGCTAACTCAGAGCATAGGCATAATATCCACTGACCTAGACCAGAAATCACCCAACTATACTTGTTCGACAGTGGGCAATGGAAACCCTGGAAGGACTGCATCCTTAACTCATCATCCTAGGAAAATTAAAATAGTATTTTCTTATCTGAATAAAGATGCTTTCATCAATGTTTTTCAGTATGAGCGGTTGTTGGATGGATAACTATGAATAAATGGAAGCAGTAGTAGAGTTAGAGGTTGGTTGGTTTGTTTTTTTTTTAACTTGAGGAAAATTTCAAGGAGGATCTCTTTTTTCCATTTTAAACTGGAAAAAGAAGAGTTCTCAGGCCCCACAACCAGTGAGAGGAGTACTTTGACAGTCAGTTGACCTCATAGAGAGAGCTGGCTGAACTGCCTTGCTCTAACTCTTACCTAGCTTTCTGTTTCCCTTGCATGTCTTCCATAAGGAGCAGGGCCATACAGAAATCGCTTTTTAGCCAGCTGAGTAACTGATTATCAGCTAATGAGCACCTTCCATAAATTAGAAGGGGAGGGAGCAGTTAATTGAAGTGGGCTATGATTGTATAGACTTCTTTTATGAAGATCTCTTAATTACGTTGTGAATATTCTCTGTGAAATTCATAGAGCCTTTGAGTAGGTACATGATTCCTAACCTAAATGAACATAATTGAATACTGGGTGGATCCTAAGCATTCTTTTAGTTTCTAAGTATCCATGTTTGGCAGGAGTGCCCCCAAATGGGTGGTGGCTACACTTGTGACAAAAAAGCTGGTCTTAGTCAATGGTTTTTTGTAGTCCCTAGGTCCTAGTAATGGCATTCCTTGGCTTTTCATCACTCACATGCAATTTGCCTTCTGTGCTTAAAGAGGCATCTCTAGTTTCTCAATCTATTTTGAGCATCCTGGGGATAATACTTTGATATTTTGATAGATCATGATCATACCTTCACTGGTCAGTCATTCTGTCAATAAGCATTTATTAAGTGCTTATTAAGCATATGCTAGGCACTGTGCTAAGCCCTGGATTCAGCCCATCTATGCTATCACATTATGTGCAATCTGTGTTCATAGTTTTTTTTTTGAACATACTCCATAGAGAAATCCATTTAATGCAGTGGTGGCCTTCCTTTTTTTTTAAAAATATCTTGCGAGTACAATGGAACATTTGGAATGCCCATTTGTTACTCTTCATTTTCAACATGTGAGTGACCACCTCCTTTCCCCACCATTGATGTTCCTCTGTCATGCTTTTTTACCCCCACTTCTTGCATGCAAATCATTGCCAGTAACAGCGTGCTGTTGCCTGTTTATACTCACCACGTGCCTTTCTGTTGTTAGTTGGGTTATTTGTAATATTCTTCTGAGATAATGGTGTTTCCAGGGACAATATTTATCCATAAATATTTCAGAACCCAGATCCAGGACTGCCAATTACTTTCTAGCATCTGTGGCTCCAACTTATTCCAAACATTTAAAATAACAATGAACTGGTGACTAGAGGAAAAAAAGTAAATGCAAAACCTAGCAATTCTGGGTTTAGAAATTTGCATTATTTTTCCCTTTCCTTCTCTCTTCCATCCACAAAACTTCTTTGAAGTGAATTTTCCATAACAAATAATGAATTGCAAATAAAACCCAACTCAAAGAATTTGATGTCATAACTTTGTGAGCACTAATTTGGCAAAATTTGATTAACTTTGAAACATGATCCAAAATTGTCTTGAATTCACTAGAAGGAAAGGATCATTAATTTGCAACGGTACCTACAGACTTTGCCTTCTCCAAGGCTCCTAGGAGCAATGGTAAGAATTGGTAGGGGGTAGATTTTACATAAAATAAACATTCACAGCTTCTTCCTGCCTTTAGAAAACACTTGCTGAATCCAGCAAAAGTGTCTTGGGCCTTGCATGGTCCCTTCCATCTCAAATGAGTGGTTCATTGGGAACCAGTGTTTGAGGTAGTCCAAAAAACTGTCCCAGACCACCAGCTCCAGTCTTCTATCCTCACTTCTCACCCTGACACTTAGATACCGTGCCTTCACATATCCCTTCACCCACGCAAAGAGCTGTCCCATTTTCATCTAGTAAAAGCCCAATTTAAATGGGTATATGTGTGTCTGTTCTTTTGTAGGATAAAATTTCTCAGCTGGAGATGGAACTAGATGAAGAAAGGAACAATTCTGATTTGTTGTCTGAGAGGATCACCCGGAGCAGGGAACAGGTACTGCAATGGCTGAAAATGATCAAGTTAACATGAGTGAACCAAAAGGAATGAGATGTATAAATATGAATGGTTGGCTAGAGCACAAGTCCTTAACCTTTTTTTGTATCATGGATCCATTAATTTTTTTAAAATAATTTATTTTTAGTTTTCAACAATCACTTTCGTAGGCTTTTGAGTTTTAAATTTTCTCCCTCTCCTTCCCCAAGATGGCATGTAATCTGATATAGGCTCTACATATACATTCCTATTAAATATATTTTCACATTAGTTATGTTGTAAAGAAGAATTAGAACCAATAGGAAGAACCACAAGAAAGAAGAAACAAAACAAAACAGAAGAAAAAAAAAGAGCAAATAGTATGCTTTGATCCGCATTCAAACTCCATAGTTCTTTCTCTGGATGTGGATAGCATTTTCCATCATGAGATTTTTGGAGATGTCTTAGATCCTTGCATTGCTGAGAAGAGCTAAGTCTATCAAAGTTTGTCATCATACCACGTGGCTGTTACTATGTACAACGTTCTCCTGGTTCTGCTCACTTCACTCAGCATCAGTTATCTTTCCAGGTTTTTCGGGAGCATGAACCCATTTAGTAGTCTGGTGAAACTTACGGACTTCTCAGAACAATGTTTTTAAATGCATAAAATAAATGCATAGAATTACCAAAAAAACCTAATTTAGTTATCAAAATATTAAACAAACAAAAACTTTATAGACACCAGGTTAAGACTAATTGGGCTAGAGGAAAGCTTCTTATAATTGCAACTTGACCCAGTAGCTCTCAATACTTTAAGCCAGAGGTATCATATGTGGGCAATATTCTCAGGTCAGATTAAAATGTAATTGGGAAATATAAAAAATACAGTAGAACCCAGATAATGTTAAAATGCAGTTTTTTAAGTCATTATACAGCCTGCAGGTTTCATGGTCCCATTTTTATTTGAGCTTGACACCACTGCTCTAAGTCACTTGCGGAGAATATAAAAATTACCTTGTTACCTCAGCAAAAGTTCAAATTTCTAAAGAAACAAGGGAAGCGGGTAAGTCATAGAAAAATCTCCTAGGCTCTAAGCTCCATGATGCTAGGGACCTTGTCTTATCTAAATTTTGTATCTTCCATTTTGTCGTTGTTTAGTTGTTTTCAGTCGTGTTCCAACTCTTTGTGACTTCTTTTGGGGGAGGTTTCTTGGCAAAAATCCTGGAGTGGTTTGCCATTTCCTTCTTCAGTTCATTTTACAGGTGAGGAAACTGAGGCAAACAGAGTTAAGTGATTTGCCCACTGTTGCATATCTAGTAAGTGTCTGAGGCTGAATTTGATCTCAGGTCTTCCTGACTCCAGGCCTAGCACTTTATCCATTGAGCCACCTAGCTACACATATACACATAAGATAAGTACAATGTTTCATCTGCTTCTCTTATTTTAATGCATCACCATCACAGTCCACAAATTCTCCTATGTTTTAGTAGACAATTTTCATGAGTTTTCTGTGGCTTAAAAACAATAATGGATTGGTAGCCAACCTTCTGTCAGTGATCCTTTCTGAAATCAACAACGCTGGTCCTCAGTTAGCAGACATAGAGTTATCCTTTAATGGCCTTCCTTACTGGCCTTTCCAGCATGACAGAGCTTATCAAGACTTGGTCTTTCCTGGTGTTGACTTCATGAACCCAGAATTACCTTCACACAATGATGAGGCATCAAAGTGGGGCTTTAGTAAAGGACTTTGCCCATAATACATACTTAACACAGGAATGCTGAATAAAATTTGAAAAATATCTTTGACTGTATAGTAGGAGGGGACTTGATAGTCTGTTTTGTGGTGTGTCTGAGAGTAATCCATTTTTCAAATACGTGAAGTGATAGGACTTACCTAGCACCCTGTTAGATGAATCACAAAATCACTCACTGTGACTTAGTATGGGTATGGACAAAAAAGAGCTTATGTATATTTTAGAATTACATGATGAGATCATTATAGCCCTTGAACTAGTGTTGCCAAAGACCAGGCAATGCAGATTGGTGGGAATTGGCCCGTGTGCCTGAGTTTTGTTGGTTTCAATTCAATCCATTAATTCAGCAAATGTTTATTAAGTGCTAATTATGTGCAAGGTATTGCCAGAGGTGCTAGAGCTACAAGGGTAAAAATATCACAGTTCTACCTTGCATTCTATAGTCCTTAGTACACATACCATAGGTGGACTGACACAAAGTGAAACATTCAGAGCAGCTTGGTGGAGCAGGGGGTAACAACACTGGAGTTGGGGTCAGAAAGACCTGAGTTTAAATAGCTGTGTGGCCCTGCGTGAGTCACTTAGCCTCAGTAAATGAAAGTGTGTAAATGTGTAAAATGAAGTTAATAATAGCACCTACTCCCTAGATTTCTTATAAGGATTAAATAAGATAATATGTGTATAGCCCTTTGCAAACCTTAATGTGAGTTGTTATTATTCATATTGGTCTCCTGTGACTGGTACCGAATTAGCTTTAGAGTTTAACTAACAGGAATTTTTAACTTGGAGGCTGTGAACTTGTGGGTTTTTTTTAATATCTTGACTGAATAGATTTTTTAAAAGATATGTTAAACATCTTTAAAAAATATCTTTAAATATCTATTTTAAAAATAAATATCTTTTAAAATATCTATTTTTAAAATATCTATTAAAATATTTTTAATATCTATTTTAAAAACAAATATCTTAAAATATCTTTATTTTTAAAATGTCTTAAATACCTTTTTAAAATATCTTTAAATATGTGTTTTAAAATGTCTTAAATATCAAAATATCTTAAATATCTTTATTTCAACATATTTGGTTTCCTTTGTAATTCTATGTATTTTAAACAAAAATCTGAGAGGGGCCCTTAAACTTCACCAGACTGCCAAAAGTGTCCATGATACAATAAAGGTTAAGAACCCTCACTCAAAATAAAGTGAATGCTTTTGGATAACAGCGGTGGTAGCCTCAGAAGATAGGTATAATAACTACTATGATAACATGTTTTTCTCGTGCTTTATTGTTACAAAGTTCTTTGCATGTCTCTCCCATTAGAGTAAGCTGCTTGAGAGCAGGACCTGTTTTTGCCTTTCCTTATAACCCTGGTACTTAGCACAATGGCGGCACATTGAGGGAATTACTAAATGCTTGTTGACTCTCATACGTTATCTTAGTTAATCCTTCAACTGACTCTGTGAGTTGTACGTTGTGCAAGTATTTTTATCCCTATTTCGTAGATAAAGAAATGGAACCTTTGAATGGTTAAGTCCCACGCTTACACAAGGAATCAGTCAGGATTTGGATACAAACCTTCTGGCGCCAATTCCAATTCCCTTTCTAGTTTTTACTTTACTTTCCTTTTTATATCCCTAGAGCTTAATGCAGTGTCTAGTAAGTCTAATAAATGCACATTGATTGACGTCTCCTACAAAGACACCTTTCTGGGAAGATACCTCCTGATTTCTAAAGCATTCCCAGCGTACATTAACAGATATCATTAAATCTGTTAGGGATACAGATGATCAGAGATTGATAAAGTTGCCTTTCTATCTCTTGTGGTCAGCCTGATTTCTGAGACTGATCACAAAGAAACGTGGAACTCTTGTGATCTGCTCGCTCCTCAGTGCAAGCTTCTCTGTGGCCCTATCTGGGTGTTGAATCGTTGTTTATGTCCATCTATGTGGTTCAGACCTGTGCCAGCAGGATGCCTTTTGTGTGCTGCACTAATTTAATGAAGGAGCTAAGTGAAAACCCAAAACTACCCAGCTGGGGAAATCCAAACATAACATAATAGGCCAAACTGAATTTTTACTGTGACTCATGGTCTCTAAAGTTTTTGAGACAATGCAAAGAACACTTTTGGTTTTGAGTTCCTTCAGAAATAGATGATGATAATATACATTTGTTGGGCTTTTTAAGATTTACAGAGTGCTTCCATAATAATCCTGGTAAGTAGTTTAAGTGTTACTAGCCCCATTTTTATAAATGATGGAACTGAAGCTCAGAAAAGTACCTGCCGTGTAAGGGCCACAGTAAGCTTACATCAGCCAGTCTGCTTTGGCTTAGCGTGTAGCTCAACATTAAATGAAAGCCTTTTAAGTGCTGGAACTAGAGTTTCTTTCAGCCTATGGATAAAAGAAAGAAAGAGTTTCAGTAAAACGTTGAGAAAGGAGAGGAGAAGAAAGTTGAGAAGGGGCCAAGGAGAGCAGTTTTGTTACTGTCTGTGTTAACTATACTAACTATATATGTTAAATTTAACATATATTTAAAAAAATATATTTTAAAAAACCTGCACGCAGAGGAGGGAGGAGAGAGGAGAAAAACAGGGGCGAATGTAGATTAACAAAAGACAAAAAAAAAGTTATTTTAAAATAAATTTATTTAAAAACATGATATAACAGGTCACGGTTTCATGTGCAGTCCTCTCTTCTATTTATTGAAATATTCATGTTTATTTTTGTTGGTCAAATTCATAATTTAAAAAAAGATTTTTTTTTTTGTAAAAGAAGGCATAGATTCAGATTCTTTTAGAACAAATGGGAATCTGAGAGCAGTCTGTTTCAAGGCATCAACTTTTCCCTCCTCCATGAATGTGGAATATCTGTGTTCAGTTTGGCTGGAGCCAGGTGACCAGAAATCCTAATTAGGAGATAAGTTTTCCAGACAGTTTGGACACTTAGATTTTCCTTTCAGATCTGACTAGTGTTGGCATGAAGGTATGGATTGAAATTTTGTCCAGATGAGTTCATTTCCCAGAACTTTTTACCTTTCCAGAGTCCTCTAAAATGAGGCAAAGTTTGTTTTCTCAGCTAAGGGTATTTTTCCCCCCAGAAAGGTTTCTAATGTACCTACTAGGGCCAAAGAATGATTTTATTCCAATGTTGAAAAGCAGGCATTTGACTCATTATTTAGACTTTTTTAAAAAAAGTCATTTATTGGTACTCTAGGGTCTGCAAAGCACTTTACCAATATCATCTCATTTATTCTCACAACCACCCTGGG